GACATCAGCGGCCACCTTTGAACTCGTAACTATGTAACTGACTGTAAATGAACGTAAAGATGCAGACAAGACCAGGAGGCATTCATTGCAGTGAAATGTGGATGGCTATAATTATACTCCAGTACATTAGGCAAACTTTGTAGAGAAATACAGTTTTAACATAAACTGTATTTCATATACGGTTTATGTTAAAACTGTCCAATATCCAGTGACTGAGTGATTATAAAGATGGTTTTCCAACAACAGCCTTGTTGCTTTGCTGGTTAGCCACATAGAGCTGAGATGGTTATTGCCTGGTTAAAGTTGTAATCTTTAATAGTTTAGTTTTATCCTTAATGAAGCCCACCTGAAATGAATTTAAAAAGATGTGATGATATATAGATGGCTGCTACGATCATCCAGGAGGTACTAAATTGCATTCGATTTACGTTAGAGCTTGATATCTTTGCAGAAAACCTGTGATTCTTTAGTTGAATGTAATCCCCGGGAAATCCACAGTTTGCCTTTTTTAGTCAAGTGTAAAAAGTATATTAAAAAAAACAAACAATTGTTGTAGAAAATTACGCCTTTTGGAAAAGTACAGTATATATTCTGACTTATCCTTTGTAGAACCTAATAGCACTCAAAGCTGAGTGCCTCAGACATGGCTGTAATTATTTGCTTAAAAGGATAATAGTACATTTGTTGAATTTCTTTCAAAAATATGTGAAAGAATCTGATTTTTTTGCCATGCCAGCTGGGTGTTGGTACAGTAGGTGTATGAATCACTACCTAGACCTAGTTGACTTATTCAAGCCTCTTTGTCCACTGACTAATAAATGAAGGACTAACAAGGACCTGGCAGTGGTTAGTGAGTAATGACTGATCTGTACAGGTGTGTAAGGAAACCTCAAATCAGGCAGGATATGAGTGATACAGGGAGTGGCGTTTTATACACCAACCTCTTAGACTGTAAACCTCTGGCACTGACCGTCTCTCTCTGCTGTTGGTTAATGCAGCCCCCAGCTGGATGCGGATGATGGCACAGATTAGGCAGTGCGACACCCATTCGACATGTGGTAATGCATTGCCACGAGGGTAGACAACTCATAATTACAATTAAAATTATGTGATTTCTCATGGATTAAATGTTTTATTTTGAAAGAATGTCTCGCAGAAAACGAGTGTGAGAAGAGTTGTGTAACATTTGTTTATAAAATGGATGAAAATCATTTTAAAAGGTGTCAGCACATCTCACTGTGTAATATCTGCCATCACTCTCCACGAGAGGAATGTCCTCTGCTCACAAATAATTTCCTGCTACCGTCACCTCTTCCAAACTTCTAGCCTGGCTCAGGCATAAAAACAAGTCCCAGAGGAAAAGGAGATGCACTAGCGCGGTTTTAAAGCTTTCAAAGCAGTTGCTATTGCCACGAGTGTACTGTAGTGTCAGTGTGACTCATAGCCTGAGCCCGGACCCTTGGCATTCCTGCAGTGGAGCTCGGCTCCTCCGTCTTGTCTGTCAGTAAATGTCACAGAGCATCTGGCTAAAAGCCTTCTGTCAGCAAGCTGAAGATGGCTCTTTGTCTGTTTACTGAAGGGACGGACATTGTCTGCCTTTCCCAGAAAAAAACCCCAGGGCACAGACTTTGACTTTCTGTCTGTTTTTAGGAAGACAGATGGTGATTTAGAAACAGAATATAATCTTTTCTCTGTCTGTTTATTACTCTCAGATTCTTCCTGTTGTTTGAGAATATTCCTTCCCATGCTGAGCTGAATAATTAGCAGGGATTTATTTATTTTTGTATTTTTACACAGGCTGTGATTTATTCACACTTACACTGCTACTACCATTCGACGCACTTTAGTGTTTAGAGTTTGTACAAGGGCACAAAATTATCAAGTAAATCTCAGGTTGTTTTAAGTGGATTAGCAGGCTTCCACACTGTTAAACCTTGTTGCAGCAGCACTGTTAGACAGTGTTTGCAAGTCTTTGTGTAGAGAGAGTTTTGTAAAATACCAAGCTACCACCTAATGCCTCTGAGTCATCGGACTTGCCTTGTCAGGTTTTTATTGTTTGGTGCTACAGAAGTTTTCTGTCTCTAATAACTGAGGTTTAGTGCCACAGACTATTTACACAAGACCAGTTCATGTTCACGTAACTGAATATCTCTGTATATCTCTAAACTAGTTCACATCTTAGGCATGCGTATGAACCTATGCACATGCATGCTCAGCTTTACTTTTGTGTCTAGCCAACAGAGGGAACGCCCTGCCCCTCCTTTACTCCAACGGGGGAGGTTAACTATAACCATATCAGTTATCCAACAAAAGGGAAAGAGAGGTGCTCCGCCTCTTAGTCTTCTGACATGCGGGCAATCGGTGCACCAAAACAGTATAGACATGTGCGCCTCTGTGGACCTATATGATCATGATCAGCAGGCTGATGAAGATAGAAAATGATTAGCATCGTGTCTGCACACGAGCAGAGTTCAGCTCTGGCACATGTTGCTTAACTGTGTTGCAGTAATGTTTCTGCTCACATAGAGCCAAGATGATGCAGTCTCCATTATTTCCAAACACAGGTTTTCCACTTTGCCTCAGTCCATTTTAAATGATGGCTTGCTAAGAGAATTGTCTATTTTTAATCCTGTAACACCTGAAGGGGAGCTCAGGTTTGGTTTTTGGTCTTGTGTCAGGAATTTGAATATATACTCTGATAAATGACTTTAGGTCTAACGGGATTTTTTCCGTTATGTTCCCTGATTGAAAGCTGGGTGGGATGTTTTCTTTTGAATTAAATAAAAACATTAAATATAAGAATAAAAGTAATTGGGTTGTGTGTATGTGATGATGGGATTTTGCTCTGCTCTGTAAGCTAAAGTGTGAAACAAGACACAGTAAGCACGTTCTTTGGTCTTTTCATGTCCAGTCAGGTTCTTACTTGTCAGTGTTCTTCATAGAACTTCAGCAGACACGAGTTCCTCCATCTGCACATACATGCACACTTGCAGCATCTACTCACCGAAGTACTGACAGCTCTAAATGACTGTGTCTGTGTGATTAAGAGTTAGTGACACAGAAGAATGCCTGGCCTGCAGTCAGAGAGAGCAGAGGGAGACAAGTCGAGCAAAACAAAGGAGACGAAAGGAGTCTGCCTTCTCTATACAAGCCCCAACAGCAGCCACTCCCTGCCTGGGACATGCTCTCTTCATACCACACTGCCCTGTAAAACTTACTGGCACACACTTAGGAGTAAGATGAACACAAGGGTGCTCAGGAATTCTCCAGTAATACTTTGACGCACATTAATCGAGTTTCTTCTCCAATTCATGTCCGTATTCCACCACCACCTCTCCAATTTCTCATTTGGTGGATGTACTTCTACATTTTAGCCGTCTAACGTAGCTAATCCTGCATGTAAAGACACGCAGGGAAAAGCCACAGAGGTGAAAGCACATTAGGCTTATGTTTATTTTTCTTTCCTTCCAGCTCTGTTTTCAGAAAAGGTGAGAAACATGTCACCTGACGAGATCAAGATCCCCTCCGAACCCCCCGGACGCTGCTCCAGCCATCTACAGGTACCCAACACCACTGTTAAACGTTCTCCTAACCACATACATTTCACTTGCAGCACACGCTTTAATGCTGTTGTATCATGCAAGCAGCTTGAGTAACACCACTTAGGCCACAGTTATGCCTGCTAATCAGATGGGGGGGTGGTTAAAGCTGGGGTTTGGGGTTTTATAAGGGCTTGATTGAATAATCTGGGGTTTTGTGGACTTGTTTATGTGCTGGATAACTACTTTCCAGGTAGTAAATTCATCCTCCTAAAAGAACTTGTCATTAGCTTAAAAAAGAAGAAATTGGTTCCATGGGGGGAGAAAACAGTCTGCGCTCACAGCCTTGGCATAAGATCAGATTTAGAAACCAAGACTTGAAACGCTAAAGGTTCGAAGCTGCCTCATCCACACACGAAACATATGGGATATTTATGCACTGAAAATAACCTCCTGTTGACGCCAAGCGACTCATTTAGCTTTCACTTGTTCCCTCTCGGGTTAGAAATACATTCTGGTGGCGACATAAATCCTGAGGCGCACCCCTGTAATTAAACCGGCACACAGTGTCATCCTCAGTCTGCTCAGCATCACCGCCGCTGATTTCTTTTCGTTGCTTTGCTTTTTCGGCGCTTCCAGCTTCAGTCAGTTAGGTTTGTCTTCTGAGGAGCAAAGGCAGGTCAGGACATACAGCTGACTTAGTAAGTGAACAGCTCAGCAGTATCCCCTCTGGGCTGACACTCCCCCACCTATCAGACGAACAACTAATGATTCACCTTCACCACAACAGCCTGGATATCCCTGCCCTCTGGGCTCAGAGGAGCTGCAGCACATGTACTCTCACAGTATGGCTTAATTGGATTTCGCAAATATTCTGTTTTTCCTGTCAATTCACCAGCGCTGGAATGTAGCCACTTTGTGAACTGTTTCCAAATGCCTTTTGCAATCATACCGCGACCTTGAGATTAGAGCAGATTAGAGCGATCCACTGGCTGCCAACTCACTGAGCTCAGTCTGAAACTCGGATATCTCTGGAGAAGATTTGTGTTTTAGGAAAAGCTGACCACAATATCTGTTTTTATTTTTTATAAGTCTGCATTTGACAAAATTTTGCTGCTGGAAATTCAAGTGAAACCTTCTGAGGGAGAGGCAGGAAGTGTCCAGACTGGTCCAAATCAGAGCAGCAGAATCACTATCATGTGTTAGCCTAATAAAAAAAAAAAAAACAACAACAAAAAAAACCACTTGCAACAGCTCCAATAGTTTTATCAGTCACCAGTAGGTTTGTTGGGGCTTTACATCAGTGTAAAGTAGATATTTGACTATTGTACCTGTTATAGAGAGTGTGTCAAATTGGAAGACTTGTCAAGATGTGTTTTCTTTTGTAGTTTAAAAGTTAAAATGTGACAACATGATGTAGACAGTCTGCAGCAAGTGTCACTCACAGTTTCCTCTTGTGCATTTTTGGCTACTTCTTTAATAAAAAGAGAAATAACATCACTGCCAGTGAGTGCTTAAATGCTGACAGTCGTCAGCTATACTTGTATAGGTTATCTCATAGGATCTACATGCATCAGTGCAGAAGTATAAATGAAGCCTCTAATGTCATTTGTCCAACCAAAGTGGTACAACACCTAAGTGTTGCTCTCTAACAAATGCATAACTTGTAATTACAATTGAAGTGGGGCATACAGTTACTTTAAGGGTGCAGAGTGTCCATAGTGACAATGCTGTGAGCATGTTTGTTTTTGCATTTTCTGTGGGAGTCTATAGGGATGGACTCATCTTGGAACAAACTGCATATTTTGGTGCTGATCTATTCGCGACATGCTCGCTGCTTACCTTCAGCCATTGCCTTGTTTATTTCATTGTTTATTGACATCCTATTTGTGGTTTTACATGTGGCAGAGGGATGCTTATTGAACCTTGAAAGTAAATATAATTCATTTTAGTCCAGATATGTTTAATATTAGTGTGCTTGTTAATCTCAAGAATCCACACAAGATATTTTAATTAAGTCGGGGATTTATTGTGCACATTTAAAGAGTTTACTTGAGGAAGGTCAGAAAGTGTGTCTTCAAAAGTAATTTTTTGTAGTTGTTTACATCAAATTATCCAGCCAATAGGGATGGCTTTTTAGAAAACACTAATATTAGAAGCACAGGAATTAGTTTTGTTGCTGTTAACACAGTAACAGTGGACCTAGACATGTAGTGATGATAGAGATACCTCTATGGATGAACAAGAGCACTATCCTCTTATTTCTTCTTTTTCTATATTAAGACCTCATGCATCACTGTGGATCTGGGTACATGTGCCAGCTCTATGTGGTTTAGTTGAACGTGGATGTGAAATATTTCTCCGCAAATTCAGGAAACTCATCTACAGTAACTCCATTCCTGGTATAAACATGTTGTTTATTTCCTAAGTGACACTGCATTGTGACACAAGTGAAGTGAATTGTAACAGCGGTGTGTGTGCGTGTGTTCTCTTCCTTCACCAGTTTGTTTGTTTTGCAACAGGAGAAGATTCATAAGCTGTATGAGAGGAAGCTCCATGGAGATTTTGACACAAACGCCCATATCCAGCAAAAGAAGGAATTTAGAAACCCAAGGTATGCAGCTCAGCTGGAGAATGCACCCACACCGTCAAACGCACACATGGGCTGTCAGCTACACGTGACAGCAGATGTACTGTTTGACTCTTATGAAGCTCCTCTTTGTTTTCAGTATTTACGAGAAGCTCATTCAGTTCTGCGCCATAGATGAACTGGGAACCAACTACCCAAAAGATATGTTCGATCCTCATGCCTGGTCGGAAGACTCTTACTATGAAGCTCTCGGTAAGTCTTTTTATTTTCGCTTACTTGTTCTTTGTGATTTCATATCAGCGCTCATAATTGCTTTTAATCCTCCAGCCAAAGCTCAGAAGGTGGAGATGGACAAACTGGAGAAAGCCAAGAAGGAACGGACCAAGGTGAGCCTAACGACAAAGAAGAGTGGATTACTCTGTCAGTCTGCATCAGGGGCAAGTCTCCACCAGCTGTACTTCATTTCTACTTTACCTCCGTCTGACACACAGAAATCAATGTTGCCAAGTTGAGCTCTCGTAACAGCAGCTCGGGCCCAGCCCAGGGCAGATGTACTTGTCGGCTTCACCCATTCTGGGTTGCTACATAAAAACCAACTGCTCCCCCCACCCCCCCCAGTATGTCTTTCTTTGCTATGGATTCTTTTGACTTTATGCTGGGCATCATTTCAGACAGCTAAATGTTGGGGGTGATGGGAGTTTCCAAGGACAATGTTGTTTAAAAACATAGTGATACCTGCTGCCATCAGCAGCATCATTCCTGCTGTTGCACTGAGCTGGACTTGAATGAACATGTAGAGCACAGCAGCTATTCTGCCTGATGTGAAATGAACCCACTGTTATGTAGCTACAGTATTCAAGCTAAGAGACATCAGAGCTGTTCACAGTATTTGTAGTTGTGCAAAATGCTTCGCTTACATATTATTGTAACCTCTGCTGTAGATTCTTAAGTTGAGCTTTTCAGTGACTGCGGTCAAGTTGTTTTTTTAAACAATAATAAATCAAACAATTTAAACCAGTGTTTTAATATATGTGTGTGTGTGTTGTTGTTTTTTTCCAGATTGAGTTTGTCACGGGGACTAAGAAGGGCACCAACCCCTCCAGCACAGCAGCCTCCACCACCAGCAACACCACAACTACATCCACAGGTAAAGCACTGCAACATCTGCTAGCTTCAGCTTGCTCCAGTAGTAGTGTGATCAGATTGGACCTCAGGTGTACACGAACAAATGAGGCTATTGGGTTAGTGAGGTACAGTCCAAAAATCTTAAGCCATTTCTTATTTGTTTCTATTTTGCTTCCAAGAAGCCGGCTCTTCTTTTTCTTTGTGCTTTTTCAGGCTTTTTTTGTTTGGTAAGCCATTGTTACAGATAACAGACACAGTAGCAAATAAACAATTTTAAAATTAATATAATTTTTAAACGCTTTGTTGCTAGCAGGCGGTCACAAAAATGAGATGAACGATGCATCCTGCCAATCGGTTAATCCAGAAAACACAGACCTGCTCTTACTGACTCCTCCCCTGTGTTTACTATGTCACAGATGCCCAGAAGAGGAAAAGTAAGTGGGACTCTGCACTCCCTGTGACCCTGGCCCAGCCCACCCTCATCACAACCACAGCCACGCTGCCCGCCGTCGTCTCTGTGACAACAACAGCAAGCGGTACCAAGACCACCGTCATCTCCGCAGTGGGTACCATCTTAAAGAAAGCAAAGCAGTGAGGATGATGAACGGGCTGCAGCGTGACCGACGGCCTGTATTGTGCTGCAGCCGTTATATGTGTGAAAAGTGATGGACACATTTTCAGAACCAGCCCACAAATTCTTTCTGCTCCTCGTGGACTCACAAAGACTAAAAACTGCCTTCTATCTCTGGGATTGTATCTGCATTATGGCATCACAAAGCCAAACTGAGCACGGGGACAATACTCCTCTGTAAATCTGATGCATGCAGATCTTTCTAAACAAGCGACTATGTCATTGTGCTTTTTTCTTTTTCTTTATTTGATGGCAACATTTGTTTATTTAAGACAGGAAATTGTTGAAACTGTAAAAGGGTCCCTCACAGAACAGATGTAGTTGAAATGTCTGAAGTTTATTTTTCTATTCATAGTTGTGGTACAGTATTTTCATGCCTGCTGTAGCACTGGATTGTAATCGTTCTTCTGTGGCACAGTGAATGACTCTGAGCTGAGATGTTTGTTTTTGGTTTTTTTTACTCTTGTACGTATGTATTGATAAGAAGGTGAATAAATGGATGAGATGTTGCCTTTTCACTTGGTTTCTCGTCATTTGCACAAACTGTGATCACTCAGTCCTCTGTCATTTCACATATGGCTGCTTCTAGGAGAGCGTTACGTCTTTGTGCTTTGAAAGGACGCTCCGTGGTTATCCAGGAACAAGCTCTTATTGACTGCACGCATTGGCTTGAATCTGGACTGAAGACTCTCTCTGGCTTTCGTGCAGATGCCGCCAACACATTCAAACAGTTTCTATCTTTCAGGGCGAAGCATCTGCGTTCCAGGTGAGGTTATGCTCACTCTAACCTCACACTCCTCATCTGACTTCTCTGGAAAGGGGAGTGTCAAGACATTTATGTGATTATGAGGTACTGTAGTGGGTTAAAGTTGGCAAGAATCAGCAGGCTCTGAGCTGCCTTGAATTTTAAAGCAGCAGCACGTCCCATTGAGTTATTTTTAAAAGCTGCACATAGTTTTTCATAACCTTTCATACTTGGAAGGTGGGTGCAGTCCTTTAACTTGCCTAACTAAATATCTGAAATATGCAAAAGTAAATGTCTTCCTTGTTTTCCAGTTGTTTATCAGAACCTCACCCTGCGTTCCCAGTCATGATGTTGTCGTGTAATCGTCCACGATGGCCTGCAATTAGACTGATGTAAATATACCGTGCACAGCTTTGCGATTAACTTTATACTTTGTCCTCAATCACAAGCTGACTTCCTAAATTGGCTCTCACTCATTAAACCTTTGGTATTAGAGGCTGGAGAAGACTCTGCATTCTGAATCTGAGCTGTCGGTGCGACTCCTGAGGGAGGTTTAAAGTGCAGATTATGGTTTAGCACTGACTCATTTATGACATTCAGTTGAATCATACCCACATTTGGCCACAAGCCTCTATAGAAGTCATGCATTTGGTAGAGTTGCATGTTCGTGTTCTTATTGCATCTCAACATGTTTTTGCAGAGCCTGGAATGCAAATGAATGGCTGAAGACTGCTGGTGGCACAACTGTGATTTCTCCAAGCTTCAGTGATTTAGGATAGAGGAAATACAATTAGAGTCAGACTGGAGCTGATTGGATAGTTGTTTTATCACGTTTGGCTGATGTTATCTGACTTGAAAGCTTATAACTTGAGCCCTGTGCTTTGGCGGGGCCTGCCCTGTAGTGCTCTGTTTGTCCCATAGTCATGCCTTTCAGGTTCCTGGGAGCACCTGGCAAGTCCTCCCTGAGCATTTAATAGCTGGAAGTTGCAGTCTTAGATCTCTCCATTGACTCAGCGTTATGCTATTTGCTTCATGGGCTTTACTTCAGCTTTTACAGTTTACACCACCATACTCTTGATACATTTAAGATTCAAACAGTCATCCAACTGCTAAAACCCTGATAACACTGGTAGAATTTGGACAGTGAAAAGTTAAAGGCCCCTTTTTCCTGAAAACTGTCACATTAATTCAGCCATCTAGAAGTTAAAATATACATATGAAAATGGGCATGTATATACAGTAGCAGTATATGTGTTTTTTTGTTTAGGTGTTTTTATAAACCTTCATACACAATTAAAACCTTAGTAAGGTTGATTATTCATTTCTATTTTGTTTTTTCTTTTTAAACCTTTTCCCCTTGGGTTATAATTCAAAAGCAACAAGAGAGGGCCTACACTTTGGAGGTGAGCCCGCCAGACACACCCAATGTACAGCTTGTGCTGAGCAGGTTACAACTTTACCCCATTTATCCACTGTCATCACGATATGACTCAAAAATGTGTACACAAAAACCCTTATGTTAATACATTTTAAAACTTGTGTTAATGTAGCTAAACCTGATAAAAAAATTAAAAAATACCCTGAGCCACTATTTAATAAAACTCCATTTCCCCCCCTAACCCTAATTAACAGCTAGCTACAAAGGAGTACACGGCTACATTAAGAAAAAAATATCTACCATTTTGGCAATAAAGTAAAAAAGTATTAATATTATTTTGAGAAAAAAAAAGTCAAAATGTGAACATTAGTTTATTTTCTTAGTGTGGTCCTAATACTCTCTAATACTAGCTAAACCTAATTAAAACAAGTGTTATTTTTCTGTTAGCATATAGCATTTTACCCCTAAAATGACAGAGTAGCTGTGTTTTTATTGAGGTAATTATTCACATAGTCTGCGTCACTACATGTCAACCTCATTAACACAGCTTTCTATTACAATGTAAAGGGTAGTTATTTGTGCTTTTATAGAGATATTTGACATGAGGAAATTTTTGTTGCTACACTTCAACGCACAGTTTTACCAAAGTTATTAATTGGTAGCATGATTGTTTTGTAGCATACATGGTTGCAAAGCTGTGTGTGAAATGTGTGCGTAGTAGCAGATTTATTAGTGGGAAGAAGAAGAACGGGGGAGACGCCATTATAAGTGGTGAATGAACTCAGTGATCCAACAAGCGCAGTTTTTGTCATGTAAATTGGCCAGTGACTCAGACTGAAACGTGGAGAGGGGAGCTGGGAAATGGGGACATTCTTGTTGGGCTTCTTGTCTGAATCCAAAACTTTACCCCTTTCTTTCCAGCTGCCTGCGGTAGGGAGAAAACCAGCTCCATCTATTCTGCAGATGAGTCCAATTCACGACAGGAGCATCGTGTAAACAGTAAGTAATGTCTAAACTCATAATCAGCATGTCTGCATATGCAGGAACCAGCAGTGTATTTGTGGTCCTTGAACGGTTTATTATCAATTTTACCTTTAGTTCCCACTGAGGGTGAATCATGGTAACTGACTGGTATATGTATAACCATGTATGTACATGTATAATTAGCACAAAGCTTCTTTCACATGATCCCTTGCTTGATTGTACAAACGATACAGCATGTGTGCCACACCTTCCCCTTAACTCGTTCAACATCTGAAAGGGCTGTTTAGATTGGCATCTCTCCTTCAGCATTAGCCAAAATACAAAAAGTGTTGAATAAGAAGAGTTGTTTCTAACAAGTTTTGTTCCCCTGGAGAGTCAGCCATTGTCTCAAACCAGATCTGGTTGCTAGGAGTGTATGTCCCCATTCAGGCTGCTCATGTTGTGAAAGGGAAAAGAGATGTTTTCACATTTAAGTTTGAGTCCTTAAATCCCAGATCTGGTCCACGCGTTGGATAAGATGTGATGCGGAGACAGTAAGTGATTGTGAATAACCTTTAACACCCCATGTGTGGTCTGCTGGATAGCAGAGGAAAAGCCTTTCCAGATAAATACACATAAAATTGCTCAATCGGACTCTGCCCCTTACTGGAATTTCTGCTACTTCCTTTTGCAAACTTCATGCAATGCAAGAAATTTATTAAAGAGCAAAAACTTAGACTGAAGCAAAGATTAAAGGGTTAGTTACAGTAAAAGGGCAGAGCGGGGGTTTACTGAGAACGTTTAACAACAAAACAGTCCAATGATTAATGAGAATCCTGACATCTAAACAAAAAAGCCTGAGGGGCATGGGTTTTGAAGGAATGTAGGCAAGTAAAAGATAATAGTTGAAGTGTTTTAAAGTCCAAAACAGACATCTAATATGTGGGTTCTCATAGAACTCAACCGGAACACAAGCGAGCACACAGCAGCACAAGTGCTTTCCTGTGAAGATCACTCAACACTGCAGCAATATAGTGTTAAAATGGAAATGATTCTCACTCATAGGCAGGGCTGGATAAACATCACAAGGCCTGGTGGCAGGCGAATTGCTTTTGGGCCGCCCCCTACGCTATAGAACCCGAGTGACTTTGAACGTGGCATAGCTGTTAGGTCAAAAAATGCCTTGTTGATCCCGGAGGTCAGTGGAGACATCTTGAAGTTGATATGAAAGTGAGAGTAACCAAAGGAACCAGCCAGATGGCCCCGCCCCTCCCTGAGCCTGGTTCTGCCAGATGTTTCTTCCTGTTAAAAGGGAGTTTTTCCTTCCCACTGTCGCCAAAGTGCTTGCTCATAGGGGGTCATATGATTGCTGGGTTTTTCTCTGTGTGTATTATTGTAGGCTCTACCTTACAATATAAAGAGCATTGAGGTGGCTGTTATTGTGATTTGGCGCTGTATAAATAAAATTGAATTTTGAACTCATCTCAAACTGGTTTCTGCAACATGAGAATGAGTTGTGTGCTTGGATGGCCTTCACAGCCATCAAGTCAAAAGAAACACAATTTCAATTTGGGACTTTGGCCAACTGGTCCTGATGTTGCTAACCCAACCAATAATAAATATTAGGGGTGCAACGATACACAAAATTCACGGTTCGGTTCGATACTTTGGTGTCACGATTCGATATTTTTTCGATACAAAAAATGTTCATGCCTTTTTAATTAGTCATTTATTAAAATTATAAATATATATTTTAACTCAAAAGTACAGTTTTTAAATTTAATGTTGCTGAAACAACAAAATAATAAAAATAAATCTATCTGATCGAGAAATCACTCATCTTTGGAAAAGAGAGTTTATTACAGAGAAATGGCTCTTTCCAAAATAAAAGCTATACTATACGCTTCTTCTGGGCTATATTCTCAGCAGCATATTAAACATATCAGGTCCCCATAAGGAGAATCATGTGCTAACGGCTGTCTAAATGACTCGGGTAAAGTTTGTAGCATTGTTGTTTTTGTCTGCTTCCACTTGTCTTTGCACTAGGATGATGTCGGAGTAAATGTGCAGTCATATTCATTGTGTTCCCACTAGTGCTGTCAGCGTTAATCTTGTTAAAATGACGTTAACATCATAACGCGGCAAATCTCCGTTAACAAGTTACCGCGGATCGCCCCGTGCGTGGGGCTGGACGGCGCCAACACCTTAACAAGCTAACTGCGCTAACGCACTAGTTCCCATCAATTGAGCATTGCGTGGCACATCCAACACACTGTTTTACTTTTGTCCATGACGCGCTTACCATCAGGGTCATGCTTCACATGAAAAACAAGATAGTTCCAAAGGCCAGATCTGAATGAGGGTGGGGGAGGTTCAATTTCGGGTAGCGTTGAGGCAGTTGCCATGTTGCAACGAGCTTAGCTTCTGTCTTGCTAGCTTGTGCTGCGCTCAGTGGATCTGCACTCGACAGTGCAGCCTAGGCGGAGTAGTCGAACGCAGATCCACTGAGCGCTCAACACAGACAGCATCGTCAGAAGAAAAGTTGATAAAATAAATACATTTTTTTGTTTTGTTCGATACATATGCGTACCGAACCGAAAGCACTGTATCGAACGGTTCAATATCGATACGAGTATTGTTGCACCCCTAATAAATATATGCTTCTTTTACTGACCATTGTCGTGCTGGGCAAATGTCACTGCAGGAGTCCTGAGCTGCAAAATCCAAACATGAAAAAAATTAATAAAATTCAAAAGCGTGACCCCCTAAAAGAGAAAAGAAAAAAGAAAACAGATCAAACTGAAAATGTTCCCTTTTTAAAAAAAATGTTTTGTTTCTCACTTTAGAACCTCCATACATGAGTTTGAACAAAATGCGATGTCGTGCAGAGTTGGAACACGGAGCTCTTACGAGCTGCCCCATCAGGCATTAATATACTTCTTCTTGCTGTTCGGTTGGAAAGATGTTCCAACAAATTGTGAGAATGACACTTGAATATATTTAAACATTGAAACTGTGAAATTTTCTTTACCTTCAGTTTAAAATGTACCTACACCAAAAAAAGGAAACACAGTGAGGACTGTGAAGTGTGGCAATCAGTACATTAATATGAAATACTGGAAGATGTAAGTACAAGAAGAAAATGTGCCCTGCAAGTATGAGTACACGGTTGTGTAAACACAAATCACAGAACTGTTTCCCGTAGCCTGCAGGCAGAGCTGCTCTGTGTGCCACTCCCAAGAGCATGGGAGAAGGCTGCTGAAGGAGGGGACTGACTGCAGAGTGTCAAGCCCACACAGGTGAACTCCCGCTTGGGTGGAATGCAACGGGTGGGAGGGGGGGCTGACGCACAGAGGTGTGGACCTTTTAACTTAACAGGGTGGGGAAGATTGAGGCGGCGGAAGGGAGTTAACTCTATCTGTTAGAACTACTCACCTGGATAGGAAAGTGTGTGTGTGTGTGTGTGTGTGTGTGTGTGTGTGTGTGTGTGTGTGTGTGTGTGTGTGTGAGCATGCAGGAGCAAAAGGAGGGATCAAGTCACAGCCCTCGCAGTATATTCAGTCAGCTGCTCTCACTGAGTCTCATATCTCTCCCACATACACTCTGAGACACACACACACTCACTCTTACTTGAGTGAGCGCAGTTTGAGGGCAAATAAGTCAATATTTGACTAGAGCGGACTGTACAGGAACAAAGAAACAGAAGAAAGTAGAAGCTGGAAGTGCGTCCGTTTCTGTTTGTAAGGGGAACTGTCAACTTGGTCACAAGGATTTGAAGTTTTTGGTTTTTTTTTTCCTTTTTCTGCTAACAGGTGGATACAAAAACTCTTCACCAAACTCCTGGGTCAAACAAAGCAGAGAAAAAAAACAGGGAAATAGTTTTCTTATTTATTGCTGCACCTTTGGACCTGGACTGGGCGAGAACACAGTAACAGGTTTGTTTGATCAGTAATCTCTTTGTGTGCAGTTGTAAATTTCCTGATGGCTCCATTGTTTTCAGCGTCCTCTTTAAACGATAATCGCAGAGCTTCGAGAAATCGGCTGGCTACTCTACCTGTTGGTGTTTGCATGACTTTTGAGCAAAGTGTCAGGCTGTGAAACGTGCGTTATATAACTTTATATCAGGCCACATGGTTTTAGAATTGCATGCAAGACCGATGACTGAGGTTTGAACAAAGCTGCTTTAAGTTTACTTGTTATTTTCTTTTTTCTTTGTGTGTGTTTGTGAATTTGGCTTCTCGTTCTGCATGATTGCTCACATCAAAACCCAGACTGCAGTGTAGCACAGGTGAAGTGGATCAGCTATGGGGAGAGTAATCCTTCTTCTTTTGCTGCCTGTTGTGTTGCTGCTTGTGTTGTGCTGTTTGTGGTTTTAAGGGAGGAATTTGCAGATAGCAGGGCGGGTTTCAGGTGTCATCCTTCAAACATGTTACAAAAGATCCTCCTGCCCTTTCACTGATGATGTCAAGACGAGGTTGGACCCGCACCCAGCGGTGGTATGTTCACCTGGCGGGCATGTTGTTGTCTGTGCAGAAACAAGCCCAGCTTAATGCCCCGCAGACTCCTTCTGAGCAAAGAAAAAAACAAAAAACAGCACGAATGACTCTGCTCTGTTTTCTGTCCCCTCAAAGCTGTAATTTGTGTCAGTGTCAGTGTCATAAATGCCTGCGTGCCTTTGATTTCGCCTGAGCGGGAGCAAAATGCAAAGTTGCACTTTTTTTTAGCTCATATTCGACGACTCATGATTACGTTTGGGGATAAGAGCTGGTTTGTTCTGTGTTTCAGGCCCAGCTCTTTATTGCTCACGCACACACCTGCAGCCAGCTCAAGTTCACACCGAGTTGCCAGGTTGGCTTTCCCATGTGTTTTTCAGGCTGTGTTTTTAACTCGCACAGGTCATTCTCTCGCCCGAAGGAGAAATTCCTTTTCAGGGTTGTAAATCTTCGTGGCGCGAATCACCTTCTTTTCTTCCTTTTTTTTCTGCGTGTGAACTCAAATCGCATATGCCCACTGCAGCAATTACAGAGACATTTCATGCCACACAGCGCCCTTTGTTCAGTGCCATGTTCGGTGGAGTGTTTTTTGCAGCTTCCATCCAAGATTCCAGAATGAAATTATAAAGTGGTTTTGTTGTGAAGAGTCTGCACAGCGTGCTGCTGCGAATATTTCCAGGTCCCACCTTGCATCCGCCCTTTCATGTCAGGATTCGATCCATCACTCTGCTGCAAAGATAACGTTTGCTGGGAACCTTTTTTTCTTTATTGATCTGTATCTGAGATTTCCACCTACACCGTTACAGTGGAGATGTACGGTCCCCAGTATTGGCCACGATCGACCTCAGAAGCAGCTTTTTCTTCTGCTGAAGTTTCTTCTAGAGAAGTCAGTTAACAGTTTGAATTAGAGATGACGATTTATTTATTGTATTTGGCTGTACTAACATATTCTCTCTTTGCTAACACTCCTAAAAAGTGTCCAGTGTTTTAAAGAATAGAAATCAGTGAATGTATTTTAATAGGGTCTAGTGTTTGTCTTTGGAAGCTGCTGTTTTCCCAAACTGAAGTGAAGGTAAGGGGAGCGTCTGGGCCTGGTCTCTCTGTCTGGCCCCGAGAGTGCAGGTGGTTCAAATTACACCAGAGGAAAGTAGATTCTCTAACCTTCTTTTTTTCTTTTCTTTCCCTAAAAGTGGATTTGAGAATTCTTCTACATTTGATTTTTTTCAAATTTGTTCTGTTTCTCTTGCAGGAAGGAGATGGGGAGATGGACGTTACATCTCTCGGTAGGGATCGCGCTTGTAGCGGTCCTGTTGACCTGCTCCTATGCTGAAGGTGAGAAAGACCAGATCCATGTTACCTCAACTAGACACACATTTATTTATTTATGACAGAACCTGCGCTATCTGCAAACTGTCTTGTGCTCATTTGCAGATTTTCACCAGATTTGTACACTCATTTCATTATGTCGACTAAATTACAAATTGATTACTGAAAGCTATAACTGGCGTATTATTTATTTTTTTTTATGAATGAAGAAGTTGGATTTGACCTTAATTTTATAAAAGCTCTATTAAACCTGCTGGTTTAGACAACTTTTATGGAATACAGGACCAAAATGAGAGATTCGAAGATGTGCTTGGTGTCAGTTGAGCTGCTGTTCACAGGTTCGGTTCTCACTGCGTTTCCTCTCTGTGATTCCTTCTGAGAGCGTTTCATTTTCTTTCTGCTCCAACAGAGAACTACTGCTTTGCCTCCAGGGCCAGCTCCTGCTCAGAATGTCTGCAAGCCGGGGTCGGCTGCGCTTACTGCTCTGAAGAGGTGAGAGTAAAAAACTGCAGAAATACGAAAGAGCAGAAAGACGATTCATTCTCAATGTTCTCATTCTTAGCATTTTGAATTTCAGGTGACACTGTTGCCTTATGTGAAGTAGTGAAGTTTATCTATTAGGTTGTAGTCAACAACTACATAAACAATGACATTTTAATGACAGAAAAATTCCTGTTTTTCAACTATACACTAAAGAAGTGTCTGGTTTGTTTTTTTTTCTTGAAGTAAATTCACAGAACAAAGGATATTTTCTGTGAATTAATGAAAACTTTATGTTTTATAATTACAGGACAGTTTGGGCAATGAACTGCAAAAACCTTTTCTGTGATTTTATACATTTATCATGTAGTTTCACTGGTCCGACCCACTTAAGTCTGTTGTGTATGTTCTGTATAATGAGTGTCACGTCCCTGGTCTATAGACTGAATGTATTCCCTTTCCAATCATCTTACCTAAGTGGTCAAATGAAGATTCTGCAGGAAAGCAGTCTTCACAAATCAATCTTCCTTCTCACTCAGACCTATAATGGCCCTCGCTGTGACCTGCATAAGAACATAATTGTCCATGGCTGCCAGGCTGCAAGCATCATTACAGTTAAAAGCAGCCAGGAGATACTAAAGGTAAGTCCTGATCACTCTTCCACCAGTTTGGCCTCAGATTAATTGTTTTCAGTCAAAAGAATTTCTAGATTTCAACTTTCACATGTTCTTCTTCTTCTATCTCTCCTTCTGCGCAGAAAGAATCAATCAACGTCAATCTTGAGAAGTCTCAGGTGTCACCACAGAGTACCATGATGACCTTCCTGCCAGGGGAGGAGAAAAACATGACGGTGCAGGTGTTTGCCCCAGAGAAAGGCCCTCTGGATCTTTATATTCTTATGGACTTTTCAAATTCCATGGAGGACGATTTGGACAACTTGAAAAAAATGGGGAAGCAGTTGGGTGAGCATCCTTGCAAAGGCGATGTGTCCTGATGAGTGTCGATGTTATACTGACTGGGAATGTATTTCCTGTAGCTTTGCTGGTGGGGAAGCTGTCGAGTGACTACACTATTGGATTTGGAGAGTTTGTGGACAAAGTGATAGAGCCCCAGACTGACATGAGGCCCATCAAGTAAGAAAAAATGAAGAAAGTTGAGCACAGTCTGTACGTGCATTAACATAGTCAAAACATAATTTCCTCTTTGTCTTTTTTCCATCCTCTTTGTCAGACTTAAACAGCCATGGCCCAACAGCGACCCTCCGTTTGCTTTCAAAAATGTCATTAAATTGACAAGCAACGTAAGTGAATTCACCGAGAAACTTCAGAAGGAGAGAATTTCTGGCAACCTGGATGCCCCAGAGGGAGGCTTCGATGCCATATTGCAGGCTGCAGTGTGCGGGGTAAATAAAAATACTAAACCAGTGTTGCTACGCCTACATTTGTGTTAAATTCACAGGTCTAAGACTGTCACCGGGTCCGTTTTCTGCCGCTTGTCTGGGCCAGGTCGCAGGGGCAGCAGCTTAAGTAGAAAAGCCCAGTCCGTTGAACAATCACCTCCTCCAGCTCATCAACCGAAACACAGCCATTCCCAGGACAGCAGAGAGATGTAATCTCTCCACTGTGTGCTGGATCTACCCCAGGACCTACTCCTGTTCTGCCTCTCCTGGTAGGAAATGCCCAGAACACCTCAAACAGGAGGCATCTTTGTCAGATGCCCAACTAGCTCCTTTCTTCCTCAGGAAGAGGCAAAGCCACCTGTCAGAGAAAGCTAATTTCTACTGTTTGTATCCACAATTGTATTCTTCTAGTTACTTCCCAGGGCTTGTAATCACAGCTGAGGGTAGGTTCATAGACTGACAGCTTCACTTTGACTCTCTGCTCTCTTCACTACGACGGACCTGTACATCACATCACTGCAGATGTGATACAAGTTGGTCTGTCAATCCCTCTCTTTTCCCTCTCTCCTCGTTTGTGAGCAAGACCCTGAGATACTGAAACTCCTCCGCTTGGGGCAGCAACCTGGAGCGGGCACTTCACCCTCTTCCTGCTCAGAACTATAGCCTCAGACATGAAGGTGTTCATTCTCATTCCAGCTCAGCTCTCAACTGTTCCAGTGCTGGAGATCACCACCTGATGAAACTAAGAGAACCACATCACGAACAATAAAGCAGAGACAAGATCCTTAGACAACCGAAGTGGAAGCATAATGTCCGTCCTTTACAAAATTCTGAACAGCACTGGTGATAATCGTGCTCAACAAAGACTAATTAGAATACATGTTAATCGAAGTAAAGCCTGCAGCTTCATTCAGGCAGACAACTTATGCTATACTGTGTCATTCACACTAACTCTCAGTATTCTCACATATAACTATACTTTTGTGCCAGTTTATAATTTTTTGTAAACATATTTTTCCCAGCAGTTAAAAAAAGAAAATGCTCCATTCCTCTATCATAATATGAACTGAAGTGTGACGTAATGAAACGAACACTCGTTTTTCATGTACAAAAGGTTATTTAGGTCCTTCAGGCCATATTTTGAAAACCCTGGTGGTAATTTTACCAAGTAGCTTATAAACACAATAGCTCTTTCCTGTCAAATAGATGCTATTTCCATTACAGTTTAGTTTCTTCTGTTTCCAAGTGGGCAGAAAATGAGGAGTTACTGTTTGAGGAATATTTGGAAAGAAAGGCTTCTGACCAGCAAAGGTTGAACATGCACGTTTTCCCTAAATGCCCTTGTAATTTATTTACCACATATCTTTTGCGCTACATTGTATTTTGTTATTCTAGGATAAAATTGGCTGGCGACAAGGCAGCACACATCTCCTGGTCTTTTCCACGGAGTCAGCCTTCCACTATGAAGCTGATGGCGCTAATGTGCTAGCAGGCGTCTTGCCACGCAATGATGAGCAATGCCATCTCAACGAGCAGGGTTCTTACACAGAGGCTACAAAACAGGATTACCCATCAATACCAACGCTGGTCCGTCTCCTGGGAAAGAACAACATTATCCCAATCTTTGCTGTCACTGACCACTCCTACACGCACTACCAGGTTGGTGGGCTTTAGAGCTTCATATTTCACTTAAGTCATACCGAAAGTCTGTGATAAATAGATAACTCCTTTTTTATGCCATGACATTTTTTTGTATTGTGTGCAGAAACTCAAAGAGTATTTTCCCATTGCTGAGGTTGGTCTGCTGCAAGAAGACTCATCCAATATCCTTGAAGTCATGGAGACTGCCTTTACGGTAACAGCTCACGGTTGCTAGCACTTTGTACTCTGTTCAGTCAATCTCTGCATGCTGATAGGTTTTTATACTGTGTGTCTTTTCAGAATATCCGAGCTAAGATGAGCATCCGTGCAGAGGACAGGCCCAAGGCTTTCGAGGCGAAGTTCTTGAAAGAAAGTGGACAGATTGCAAAATACGGGGAATTTAATTTCCAGCCAGGAATAATTGTATGTGCCAAAAAAGATATAAACAATTATTTTACTAATAAATGTATTTGTGTAATAGATTATTATTTTTGTTGGCAACAACTGGGATTTTCAGAATTTAAATGATGTAACACCGCACTCCCTATTTTACTGTAAAAAAAACTGATCTACATAATTAAGACTCACTGCAGTTAACTGCATGATAAAGCAAACAACAAAAGAGTCATAAAATCAACGTGAGGCTATTCTATCAAACGTAATAACCATTTTACTCTGTTGCCAAATAGTAAATAATTATTTTTCACTAGTGGCATGTGGTGACTTTTACAGAAAGGCAAGCAGAGACAATGAGCCCCAGACATTTTGGCCAAAGTGGTTACAAAGAGAAAATTTGTGTTACAGTGGAAAAGGATACACTGTACAAATCATTAGGTTTTGCTTGCCCTGGCAGAAAACCACTGTTTTGTACACATTTTTGCCCTGTTAAACATCCATAGATCTATTTTCCTGCTTATCCAACTTAGCTATACATCACCAGTCTTTAACAGGAAAGCAAGAGAGAGACAACCAAACATGCTCATGTTCATGCCACAGCCAGTCACCAGTTAACCTAATAAGTAATGAATGATGAAACTGATGTAACCAGATCCAAATCAGAGTTATAAAAGGAAACCAGGCCAAAACAGTTTTTAATCAGGTTGTAAAAAATGCATTTTAATACTGTAAAGTCTGATATTTTCACATGACAGTCTGTGGGGATTGATTTACTTTTTTAGCCAACCACAGGAAGCAGGAACAGGAGGAACTACCTAAATGGATTTGGTGACATGATTTTGTGTGTGTGTGTTTGTGTGATTTCTAGGGCAAATTCGTGATGCAGCTCAAAGCTCAACGGATGATTGATGAAAACCACGTCTGCAAAATGGACCCGAATGAAAACAAGGGAGTAATGAGAGTCAAACCGACCACCTTTAGCACCGGGGTCATGGTTGATGCCACAATTTTGTGTCCAACCTGTGACTGTGAGAAGGTTAGAAGCACACAAAAAGCCTAGTTAAAGTCACATTTCTTTATGGCAGATCATCTTTAAAAGACTATCTTTAACTCTCCTCCAGTCACCCATTCGTAATGCACCTCGATGCAATGGAAAAGGAGACCTGGTGTGTGGGAAATGTCGATGCCATGGTGGCTGGTGAGACTTAATTATTCATTCTATAGAAATAATTTTTAAAAACTTACCAGGATGGCACATATGAAAATGATTTCAGACTTTTTGGTTTAATATAGTTTGCTGTCACGTCTCCTCTCCAGGGTGGGTCCTTTCTGTAATTGTTCAGGGAGTGGTTCAGCTGCAGACATCAACCAGTGCAAAGCAAAGGAAACAGATGAACCTTGTTCCGGACGCGGAGAATGTCAGGAGTGTGGAACCTGCATATGCTACAACCCGAATCAGTTTGAAGGACCCTACTGCGAGTATGACAAGACCCAGTGCCAAAGGCATGCAGGTTTCCTCTGCAATGGTACGCCAGACTGTGATGTTTTGTGACTCTTGCCACTGCAAACTAAGAATAATGGATGTAGTCACGGTGATGTCACTTGACTTTGTCATTTTGTGTATTTTACCCTAGAAATTATCGGCTTGGCGCTACTAATTAGTGCTAGGCAGCAGGCTAATAAAATACTGGAAATTCACTCATTAATGCTGAAACACAGACTTCTTGAACATTTTAGACAGCCTCAAGTGGCCACTAGGGGAACTGCAGATTTTTGACACTTTCATGTTAGCTTATTTTTTCAGTCAGAAGTCAAAGGGACATTTAGCAGATAAAGACTCAAGTAAATTGTAATTGTGTTTGTTTGCTGGGTTTGTTAGCTTTGTCACCTTGATAATATTGATAATAGCGATCTTATTTTCCAGCAGTGTTACTTCCAAAACTCTCTAAATGTACAAAAATGTTACATCTCATTCTTTCCTCTCTCATCAGACCGTGGCTCTTGCGTTAAGGGTCAGTGTGCGTGCACTGAGGGCTGGACAGGAAATGCTTGCGAGTGTCC